GAGAGAGAGAGAGAGAGAGAGAGAGAGAGAGAGAGAGAGAGAGAGAGAGAGCATGGAATATAAACCACAAACCTGTACAGTCGTGAATTTGACGGAAACTGTGCAACCCATGATCCATGGGGGGGATGGTGAGAGGAAACCAACAACGAAGAAAACACCTGTGTAGCCCCCCAGGGCACTAATGCATGGTTCTAAGTTGGTATAGAACGGATGGGGTCACCCTGCCCAAACCACTTGAGAGTGCTGATGCCTCCGACCTCGAATGGAATGGAATACACTCTGACCCTTGCAAAACCACAAACATAGGCACAACAGACGAGATCGAAAAGACGATAGCCAAACGCAGCGACATTCAAGGCTCTCTGAACTAGTAAACGACCTGACGGACATGGATCGAAACCAAGCATTTACACAGCTTGAGGCCTATAGTATCGGAAATGCCATATACTAACCATCTGAAGAACCCAGGCTTGAGGCCCCGTGTGGGCGGTGCATCTGACGATATGAAATAGCCTCTGCACACAGTCCAATGCAAATCCGAAATCGCTTCAGTCGAATTAAACACCAATTCTTTCCAATTACCGTTGGTTGAATTTGTTCCAAAGTTATTTGTGCACAGGCTCGTAGGACAACTGTAATGGGATAAGCATGGGCTGAAGAACACTCCCAAATTTCTGTGCTTCCCCATCAGGTGATGCTCCCACCAATAGAAAGGGGCTTTTTGTTGAAAAAAACAAAACAAAAGAACTTGCATTGAAGTCTCAAAGAGCCTTCCATTTTCTCTGAAGACGCAAAGATCAAATCTCTCTCTCTCTCTCTCTCTCTCTCTCTCTCTCTCTCTCTCTCCTTATACAGCCCTCCCCTCTCCCCTCCTATTGCTCTGCACTCAATGCTTTAAAAGGCTGAGAGTCTGAGATGCGTCCTTGCATGCATGTGCCATGTCAAGCTTTGATTGCCTTGGGTCATATTTAGTACTTACAATCTAGGCTGGGTCGTCCCCCGGCCAGGTATAGCCAGGCCAGCTGGGCCGGGGGGGGGATAGCCCGGCAAAACCAGGCAGGTCAAAAAAGAGGGAAGGATCCCCCCCAAAAAAGAAACTGACTTCAGGCCAGGACTGCGCTCAGCCTGAGCAGTCAGAATCCGGCCTTACCTTCCATTTTGGTGGTGGGTCACCCAGGGGTGTTTTGGGGGGTATAAAGTTACTCTAACAGTGACTAGAGGGGTTTAAAAGGGTATATCTTACCTCATTTCTCCTCATGTATTTTATCTTAAAATAAGGAATTTCCAGGGGACCCTCAGCCAAAAGATGCTTGTACTGCAATTTTACACAACATGTTTTTTATAACTTTTCTCCTAGGCTACCAGCCAGGCCGCCCGAGTCCCGGTGGCCAGCCTGTGCAAGGACCAGGGAAGGTCCCAGCAAAAAAAAAAAAAAAAAAAAAAAAAAATCCAAAAAATCCGAAAAAAAACTATGTTATACAGAAAAATAAACTGAACAACTTTTGCCTCAGGGTCACATCGAAATTCTGCACCAAATTTAGAAAAAAACTAGGAAGATTCTCACGCCCGGCCGGGCACCCGGGCGTAACGCCCGGGGGGGGGTCTGACGCCCGGGGKACCCAGGSGGKGAAAAAAAAAAAAAAAAAGATTTCTTTTTTTTTTTTTTTTTTGGTTTTCTGCGCTCTACCAGAGGACTCCAAATCCGGGCTCRTTTCGTTTTTTGCGAGTTGGCTGTCAAGGAGGGGGGAGGGGGGTATAAATTGGTTTTAAAGGGGCTATAGGGGTCTAAAGGGGGGTGCCTTTGTGTGATTCTGTTATTTTCTTTTTTATCTGTGATTCTGGGAGGAATCATAATGTGACCCTCAGCCAAAAGTGGTTTGCATTTCAATCCTACACAACATATTTTTTTTCTGGAATTTTTTGAGTTTTTTTTTTTTTTTTTCGGCACTGGGGCTGCCTGGAACCCTGCCCGGGGGTCATGCCCGGCCGGGCACCCGGGCGTGTACCCGGGCAGAAGTTGGGTGCCGGGCGCCCGGGAAAACAGCCTAGGAAAAAAAACAAATTTTATTTTTTTATTTTTATTTTTATTTTTATTTTTTTTTAATTGTTTTTGGCCCGGCCGGGCAAGTGACCCCGGGCCACTCTGGTAGCCTAGCTTTTCTCCAGATTATTTTTATTTTTATCATTTTTAATTTTATTTTTTTTAATGATTTTTTTGAATTTTTTGAATTAAAAAAAAAATTATGCACTGGGCCCGGGACCCTGCCCGGCCTGGGCTTCCCGGGAGGGTACCCGGGCGACCTTTCCCCAGCCGGGCCGCCTGGGGACCAGCCTAGCTTACAATATGCCAATAATTTAATTAAATCAGACTGAGTCGCCGTGAATTATTTAATCGCCGTGGAATGCTAATTGATGATTGATCACTTGTGCATTTATACAATAGGCACGTAAATCCAACCCTTCACCTCCTTCACCCAATCATTTCGGACCACCTTTTGATGAAGCAGACATCGCACAGCTTCAAAATGTGTTCCAAGTCACTTACTAAAGAAGGACCGCATGAAAGAAGAACAATGAAAAGAAGGCAGAAGAAATCCCGCGGAGGAACAGATTAGGAAAGCTTCCATAGAGCTGCAGCTTACTTTGGACCTCCTTCCTTATATGCCAATGAACTTTCTTCTGCAAATGGCATAATCCAGAGGGTCACCTTAAACCCTAGGGCATGAAGCAATTCCACCATGGCCTGTGTCCGGACAGGTGAACAAGAGGGAAATGAAATGTCAGCAACCCAACACCATGAAGCACACAAAGGCGCTCACAACACTCCGTATAGAATACTAGATACTAGACACAAGTTCAAACAACAGAAATAGAAAAGATACATTACAAACAATCTGAACATGGTTTCAGCTATTACCTCGGGCACACTCAGGCATTGAACAACATCTCAGGCTATTATCAGCAAAAGAAATGCAGAGGCAACAACTGGAATATCATACTAATATGTATAGTAACTACAGTTTCACATCAACCTTGCACTGCTTGTTGGGTGGGGCACAAACAGCACAAAAAGCGCACAACTGTCGTTGGATGGACAATGATAACGCCAAAACGCAATGTTAACACTCCGGGGAAAATAAAAAAGAGTGAGTTGGCATTCGTCTGATACTTTCGGGGGCTCCTAGCTGCCTGATTAAAATGGCTGGTGCTGCCGAGCAGAAAGAAAGGACATTGTGTCAGCGTCGTTGGCTCTTTTTGGCGCCCACTGGGCTGCAGCATGATTTTTTTCGGAAGAAGAACAACCTTAACAATCGCCAGTTTGGACACGTGCCAAAACCACCCGTTACCTGTGGTCCTGTGGCACTCCTAATTTCTAGGCCGGGGGATGCAGAAAAGACCTGGTACAGGGGCGATGAGGAAGTTTGGACAGAAGCAACTTCTCAGAGAGCCCCGCAACCACATTGCCCAAAGCCATTCTTTTTTTTTTTTTTCTTCAAAAGGTTGTGCAGGCTAAGTGTTGCATACCGTATAGGTGCAGACCAGAACAAGAACCGACCTTTCAATACGAAGTATAAGATAGCACAGCAGAAGACTTAGATACCAGTGATCCGAACAATCAATGTTGTAATGCAGCCCTGAACATACATCATCATCATCGTTTCATAGTGTGAATGGGTCTGGCACTTCACACAGGAAGACAGCGCCAGCCCAGAACATGCACAGACGAGGAGGAAGGGGATAGACGAAGAGGAGGGGGGGAAGATGGGAATGTCGTCAACACCAAGTCTTCGGCACAAGCCCAAATAGTCCCTCGTCGAAMTGTCTGAATCCCAAATGTCAAGTCTGGATCCAATGTCGTCAAGTCTCAAGTCACAGCTCTGTCTCTCTCTGTCGTAGTCTGAGAAGTCAGGTGGCGAGAGGGTGAGAAGAGAAGGTGGGCTTAGAAGAGGAAGACGAAGAACTCTCTCTCTCTCTGTGTCCAGTACTAACCTGTGAAGTTGGCGCCTTGATGCAGGTACCACGAAGATGGAGCTGGAGCGATGGCGCCACAGGTAAGTAACACTGGCCTCCGCCAGTCTCTCTCCYACTCTGCGATCTACTACYTACCAGCGCCCARCGCTGAAGACTACAGCTACAGCTATGGCGCCCAGCGCCRAAGACTACAGCTAGCGCTACCACTACTGCCTAGCGCTGAAGACTACTGCAGCGCTCCTCCTGAGTGCTGCGGCCGAATCCTGAAGACTACCTCTGCCTACTGACCCCCTCCTGAAGGGCGGGCCAGTCCTTTATAGTGCTGGCCCGTGCAGGAGGCTGGCCGTGCCAATGCCTCCCTGGCCTAGACCCTGCGGAAGCTTCCAGGCAAGAGCCTGGAAGTTCCCTGAAGTTTCCCTGTAGGGAAACAGGCTGGGGCCTGTAGGCCCTGTCAGAAGGAAGCTTCCAGGCAAGAGCCTGGAAGTTTCCCTGTAGGGAAACAGGCTGGAGGTCTGGGAAGGGCCCTGCAGGGCCCGTGTGGCTGCACAGTATGCCACACTAAGGTATAAGCAGACCCTACCCTGACGGCCAGTGATATCATCACATTCCCACGACACACCCAGGGCAGAGTGGGGCATTCCAAGGCGGGAGACTCCCAATGGTACCCAGTCCCTCAGCGACCTTCCCCTCCCCCCTCCCCCTCCCCCCTCCCGCCCGAACTGTGTATGTTGTAAGCACAGCCAGCAGGACGCTCAACTGGCAAGACCCCCCATACAACCATCTACACAGCCTTGCAACCGGCCCCCCGTGTGCTACCCGGCCGGGGATGCAAATGCGCCGGAGTCCAATATGGTGGATTCCGATCACAGGCACTCATTCGAGCCACCCAGGACTCGAACTCGCAGCCTGTCTTGCGGCACAGGAACATGTAGAACACAGGCGCCCTATCAACTGGGCTACTGCCCAAGGCCATTCCGGTACCTGGTCTTGCAACAGTCTGTTTTCCCAAGGCCATTCTGGGACCTGGCCTTGCAAGAATGCGTTCGGAAGGGCAGGTCAGGTTCAGAGGCATTGATGCTTTGATTGGCACCAGGTCACCCTCACGACAATTCACTTGCCTGATTTCATGAACTTGTTACGATCCTGGCCAACTTCGAAGTACACATTCATCAGAAAGTACAATGCAGTCCAATTGCAAAAAGGAATGACTGAACTTGAGAGGGGAGAGAGGGAAAGAAGAAGAAGAGAAGAAAAAGAAGATGTACACCAATAAAGGCCAATGACAATTCCCTTCTTCTCACCAACCACTCTCCTCCTCCTTTTCTCCTCCCCTCTTATTCAATAAATAACAATAATAATGTTGAATGGCTGAACCAGAATCAATGTTCGAATCCCTCTTCTACTGCAGGCACAACATGAGGTTCACCATAGCCATGGCCACCCTTCTCCTTCCTCTTCATGTAGGCTGCGGCTATGTGCGCACTACTAGGGCCTTGCCCTGCCGTGCAAAGGACAACTCAAAGCAGCTATGCCCGCTGCTATTCAGGCCGCCATGCCTGACTCTGCCTCGAAGCCTTCTTGGTGCGGCGCAACCCCAACTGGGGCCTTCCAGATGCGGCGCCTAACAAGGTGATAAAGATGGTGTACTCCAAAGCCAGGTAAGTGCCTCGCCTCTCTCCTCCCTAGCCCTCTTCTTCCTCCTCCTACTACTAGTAGAGTTCCACCATAGCCGCGGTGGAAGCTTCCGGCCTTGTTCCTCCTGGCGCTGCTCTGCCCAGCGCTCCTCCCTGCTCCAGCGCTCTGAAGGCTGGTGCTCGCTCAAGCAGCACGACGTCCAAATTTGCATACCGCAAATGAGGAGCACTTCGCCCATCCTGGAGATATTGCGGCCTGCTTGCCTCTTGGGCGGTGACTTCCTAGGCCGCGCGGCCTCCAAGCAACCGGTACCTCCTCCCTTTCGGAGGGAAACATCATTGCAGACTCTGATATAGCCTGTACAGGCCCTAGACTCAAACTGGTTGGACTGGTACGCGCCTAGACCTAGCCTACAACTACTGGGCCTCTAAAAATGCCAAATTTTGTCTTCCTCTGCTCGGCCTCGAGTACCCCGGCACATCCACTTCTACTTGGTGTGGTACTGGCCTACCTACTACTAGATGTTTTCCCGCTGCTCTAAGTGCCGCGGGCCTCTTTCCCCGCCACTCGAGTGTTTTCCCCCGCTGCAACCCTCAATGTCACGGTCACACAGGTAAGTACCAGCCCTACGGGCCTCCCAGGCTAGCAAGCACCCTTGCGGGTCACACACACTCAGGCCGACAAGCACTCACACAGGCGCGCAGACCCTCAATCACGCACAGTGGCAGAAGTCAGAAATCAGCAGTGTTGTCAGTCTGTGTTTTGGCAGGTCATTACACTTGACTAATAAGAGGAGGAGCTCGTGAGGGTTGATGATGGAGGCGAGATGAGAAGGGAAATGACATTGGTTCAATCCTGTCTTCTGCTTCTTCTTCTTCTTTTCCTCATTTGTGTCTCTCTCAAGTTGCAAGGGGTGCCATCGTCTCTATGTTTCAAGTTTGGCATCATGAATTCCCAAGGGTCATAGCACTGCCTCTCTCCAATCCCTGTCTTCACGATGAACACGAAACATGGGTACAGGATAGAGAAGGTGGATGGTGGAAATAGGGAACACCATTCACTAACCTTGGGGTTTGGGAATTTAACTGGGTCGAAGACGAAGTCTCCATACTTGGTCTGCCTCAGAGTCAACCAAACACACAAGAAGGAAACAAACAGCTAACAATAAGAAGTTTTGGAGGTAGGAACAAAACTTCCACGCAGGAGACATGAACCGCACACTGCAATTAATAGCAGAGCATACACATCAGTACCGATTCATATACACATGATGATCCCATCAGACCGAAATTCTTTAGCACCAGAGTCCTCATGCTGCGAACTCGAAACCACAAAACACGGCATCGACAGACTGTCCTTCCTGCGCATCAGGATCCGAACCTGCCGGAGGAGATCAGGAGCTACAGACCAAGATCGTGAACAGTCCCTTGAACACTACCCTCATCAGCTTGTGCAACCCCTCCTCCCCCAACTTTCCTTCCACCCCCTTCCACCCTTTCCCCACCCTTTCCCCACCCCCTCACCTGACAGAAATCCCTCATAGCATTCACACTCCGCCACCCCAACCACCCAAGATGTGCAGTGAAGTGCAGCAGCAGATGCTGGCCCATCACTGGTTAACTCTTTGTCTGCAGCTATTTCAAATACTCTACCAACACACACTCCCTGCACAAAAGCATATACTCACACTAGGACTTTCCGGGATGTGTATGACCACTTTTCGGACCCGCTGAGGACGAACCTGGCCACAATTATGTCCACAGAGAAGTGGAAAAAGTCCTACCCTGAATCTGATAGACGGGGACAGAAAATCATGTGTTGCCCTAAGCGGACTCCAGGTAAAGGCGGGCCATTCTATCGGATATTTGCTGGCTTACCAGGACACAAAAAGTGCCACATCATCTAAGGCTATGTGCCTGCTGAAACGTTCTGGTAGCTGGCCACCATTACAGCCAAATTCAGTCTTGAAAGTATCCAACTGTGAGGATGCAATAAAGCAGACCAACGAGTCTATCTTGTTGGACTTTTGCAGGCTCATTCGGACATACATGTTGCCACATCATCTAAAGCAGAGCAACCAGAAAGGGCAATCATCCCGCCAATGAACACACACACAAAATAAAATAAAAAACGAGATAGCCCGCACAAATCAAAAGGAAGAAAGTAAATGGCCCCAGGGTTGAAATTGATGGATGCACGATAGAACAAAGAACATGTGCGGATTCGAGCTGGAAAGGAGCTGAAGTTTTGATTTTTTTTTTTCAAAGACAGTCTAGTAAAGTAGCATAAAAACTAATAAAATCATTAAAATGCGAAAAAGTTGCACTGCTTCTAGATCAAAGTGTTCAACTAGAAACTGGGCTTCAAGGGTCGCACCAGGCCTGGCTGGCCGACCAGACAGTCGGGCCCAGGCACCTTGGACCCACCTGCCCAGGTCGACTCAGCAAGCCAAAAAATGAGGGTTTTTAATTTTCAAAAACGTCATGGTGGGCATTTCTCCAACGGCCAAGACATGCCCAAATCACCCTTATCTTTGAATTTCGTGGTGTCTCACCTTAGGCGGTCTGACAGGTATAGATGGTGGGTGAGAGAGGTGGGAGAGAGAGAGGGGGCTGCAGGGGGGAAGGAGAGAGAGAGAGAGAGAGAGAGAGAGAGAGAGAGAGAGAGAGAGAGAGAGAGAGAGAGAGAGAGAGAGACGGCAGCCTCATCCCCTCTTCCCCCTTTGGCAGCAGGTACGTTCCCCCTTTCCCTTTTCCTTCCCCTCCACCCTGAGCTAAGAAGAACCACAGCGAGAACCACCCATATCATTATTATATTTAAAGCGAAAAAGGGGGGCATACTCAAATCAACATATGCAATAGTATTTTATGTTCTCAGAGGCATGTTCATTGCTCAATCAACATACTCGACAGTATTTGATGTTCTCAAACGCATTCAGGACTCTGGCATTAAGTTTCCAGTTATCGAGTGGCGTTGAGCTGCATCAGCAAGTTCTGTACTAGCCAGAAGGAGAACCATGTCACACACATACTTGCCACTTGTCATCAATCTCCATGACCGACCGCTGCAACTGCCTGGATGCAATCTCATTGGCAAACTGTTCAACCTTGGCTTGTGTCACCTTCAAGAGAGAAAACCACAGGCATTACAATCACTTCAGCATATGTACAAAATTACAAATGGAGGAAGGAGGAGGAGGAGGAGGAGGAGGAGGTTGGAGGGAGGACCGAGGAGAGCAAATGTGGGAACATTCCTTGATGATGGGCTATGTCCTATGTACCATGAATGGACTCAGGACGACAAGCATGCAGAAGCAACCATCTCAATCATGCCCACATGCACATGCACACACACACACACACATACACACAAACACACGCGCAAACACACACACACACACACACACACA